GCTCGACTACTGCAATGCACTGTGCAGGGCGCAGGGAACATATCACCCCTGTGTTGGCATCCCTTCATTGTCTGCCTGTGCAATACAGGGCAAAATTAAAGGTTTTGGTATTGGCATACAGGGCCTTACACGGAACTGCTCCAGCACGTCTTGGCAACCTTTTGCATAGGCATGCCCCCTCGTGGGCCCTTCGCTCAGCCGGCAGGGAGCCGTTGATCGCTCCAAGCACTATGTGCAGGTCACGGGGGGACCATGCGTTCTCTGTGTTGGCACCTGCACTTTGGAACCAGTTGCCTTTGGTGGTGCGTCAGTCACCCTCATTGGGGGTTTTAAGACTCGCCTTAAGACCCATTTTTTTGTCAAGGCTTTTCAGGATTAGCAAATTTTACCCGGTTTCGATGCCCTGGCCTCTTAATCATTTTCTGGATTTTATTTTTTGCTTTAACTCTCCTCTTTTAATTGATTTTATGCTGGTTTTACGATTGTTATATTTTACTCTGATGGTTTTATGTTTTTATTGTGTTGTGTTCAGCACCTTGGGCGTCCGCATTGGTCGCAGAAGGGGCTTTATAAATAAATGAAATGAAATACTCTGAACTGATATTTGGCCCATAAGCACAAACAACAGTCAGGACCTGTTCCCCGACCCGAAGGCGCAGGGAAGCTACCCTCTCGTCCCCCGGGGTAAACCCCAACACACAGGCAGAGAGTCTTGGGGCAAACAAAGAGCCAACCCCAGCCCTCCGCCTCTCACCCGGAGCAACTCCAGCAAAGGAGAGTGTCCAACCCCTCTCAAGGACTTTGGTTCCAGAGCCAATGCTATGTGTCGAGATGAGTCCGACTATATCTAGCCGGTACCGCTCAACCTCTGCCACAAGCTCCTGCTCCTTCCCCGCCAGTGAGGTGACGTTCCATGTCCCAAAAACCAGTTTCCTTGTCCGGGGATCGGACCGCCAAGGCTCCCTCCTCGGTCTGCCACCCGATCCACATTGCACCGGACCCTTCATGTTCCTCCTGCGGGTGGTGGGTCCACAGTGGGATGAGCCCATGTATCCGGTTCGGGATGGGCCCCATGGGCGAAAGCCCGGCCACCAGGCTCGCTCACGGGCCCCAACCCCAGGCCAGGCTTCAGGGTGGGACCCCGGTAAGCCTCCGGGCCGGGTACTCTGACTCTTTGAATTTACATCCATGAAAGATCCTCTGAACCCTTCTTTGTCTCACCCTTCACCTAAGACCAATTTGTCATGGGAGACCCTACCAGGGGCATAAAGTGCCCCAGACAACATAGCTCCTAGGATCATTAGGGCACTAAAACTCCTCCACCACGATAAGGTGACGGTTCAAGGAGGAGCCCATATATTTTCTTACCAGTAGCACTTGATGGATGGTTTTTGTTTTGGATCTAATCAGGGGAATTTAGTAAACACTCCTCCTGAGTCTCTGTTGACAGGAATCCGATGGCCGCTCATTGACAGCACTCAGCCACGCGTGGGCCAATTCTACTTCTATTATACTCAAGACTGCACGAGTGCCTGATGCAGCGGGGGAAAAATAAATGAAAAAATCCTCACCCTCACCCTGAAGCCCTCAGAAAAGCTCTTGCATGTTCAAACAAAACATTAACACACATTTCACACAGTCAGACCTTCGGTGGTGACAAAACATCCCATAATGTGGTCGAGGTTTGGTGACATGCTTCTTCATAATCCACCGCTACTCATACTCAGAGTGTTTGAACTTTAAAATATCCAAACACACAAAAAGGGAAATTGTGTGAGGGCTTTTGAGATTTACCCCTCAGACCCGATGCAAAAATGTGAAAAACCCTGCAAAGTTCGGCAAAAAGATTTGAAATAATCTACTGAAAATACTGGGAAAAGGTAAGGAGCCAGAAGAGCTGAGGTTAGAAACACATGATGCATGGAAATGTGTTTATTAAAGAAGCTGTGCAAGAAAATAAATCTGCTGTGATTTCAGATTGCACTATGTTGTTTTTGTCATTTTTGTAAAACTGAACCTTGCAGTTAAAAGCTCTTGCAAACATCAAATATACGACAGTTATTCTGCTTTTCATGCTCCAGGAAACTTTAAAGAACTTGATTCTCTCCTGTGATTAAAGTGAAAATTGGTCATCTTTGTGCTTCTTTCTAAAATCAGGAGAAGAGAAACAGAAACCATCCAAGGCCAAGAGGGAAAAGATGGTCTCAGGATCTCATGATGTGGTCACGTTGGTATCTTCACACTGTGACCTTCTGGGGCGATCACCTGGAAGAAAGACCTCCGGATCTGAGCTTTGTCTGCAGTGATGAGGGCATCGTTTTGGTCTGCATTGGAGGTGTGAGGAAGGATTTGCTGTAACTTAGTTGTGACCTAAGGAACAACCTGTTGACTGACAGGAGCTCATCATCCAGGAATGTAGTTACTGCTCCTCTTCAGCGAAATGAGTCCTCTGAGGTGGTTTTGGGCCACCAGCTGCTGTTTTTTTTTTCTTTTCCTGTGGAGGATTTTCCTGCATGTCCAGCTGGGGGCTCATGACAGAGGGATAAAAAAATTCAATCTTTGACTAAAGTTGAAGAAAACAGATGGACGGAAATCTGATCCTGTGCTTGAACCCCTCTCTCCTGCAGGACACAAACTCAGCAGCAGGGCCTTTAGAGCTACGATGGCAAATCTGCAAAACAAGCGAGCTGAAAACGTTTTTTATGCCTCTTAACGTTCTAACACAGTATGGCTGTAAATAATTTGTGGAGATTAAGAAAAATATGGAAAAAAATAATGAAGGGGTTCAACCCTCCACCAATAACACAGCTCGGTACCAAATCAACTATTGGAGCTTTCAGTTGTCTGTCTCACCGAGCCACCGCCCTTCCACACTTCCCTGGCTCCTTCACTCACCACACACTCCCGTATGTAGCAACAGATCACCACCGGTGTGAGAGGTTCTGATGCTATAACATCAGAGAAGGAGAAACAGCCGGCTGCTACCACTGCCTTTGTGTTTATCCTTCTGAGAAAGTTGTTTCAGTTTACGCTCCTTTTTACATGCATATTCTTTACATAGTTGGAATATAAAACACATCCTACTGCAGCTACGTACAAAGAGATCTTGTACGGGTAAAATGTTCTAATGAAACGTGGCCGCTTTAATAGGATGACAACGTAGCAGCAACTGTTCCTGCACAATTTCAGACACCTGTCAGTCACTTTCTGGAAAATAAACCATGCACTTTTCCAGAATCATCAATATGCATTAGCTCTGGCAGGTTCTGCACGTGTCACATCAATACTCAGTCGCCCTACTGGTTTTAATCACCCTGGTGCTTTGTTCTCGACGTACACGTCTACTCTGAACCACAACAAGATTTTAGAAACGTGACACGTCTTTTTAAACTATCCGAGTCATTAAAGCTCTTCGCAAGGCGAGAGAATTTCTGCATTGGAGTCACGTTGTGTCCTTGGCTCGTCTACAGGATGACACAGCCCTACAAACAGGAACCCTTGTTGAGTTTCTAGAGAATACTTGATCAGATACAAGACGCTTTTGTTGAGAGAAGAGAAGGGTTTTTACCCAGTCAAGCATGTGTGACCCCAGATAAGAGAAAGAGAGGCGGGGAATGAGTTTTCTGGGGAGATCGGCTCCTCACACTGCAGCCAATCTGCTCAAACATTTACTGCGGCAGCAAGAGAAAAGAGAACGAAAAACCTCTGACTACCTCCTGGAAAATATATGAGAGCGAGATGTGGAGATGTGATCCAGGCAGCAGCCCATATCCTTTCTGCCTTGTAATGGAAATGTGACATGCTGGTGTGAATACGCACAACCGCGCCGCCTCTGCGGCTGTGGATTTGGAGGTTCATCTTTGTGTGGAGAAAATTAAGCAAAACAGACGGAGAGAGATCCAACTCTTCCCCAAACTCTGCCAACAGCTGCCCGACTTTCATCTGGATCACCAAAACAAACGATTGTTTCAGAAGCACAGATGTTCCCACATCTGTTTGGTGAGTCGAGCCAAAAGTCACACAAAAGTAAATATGAACGAAGCCGAAGACGTGATTAGTAAAACCAGCGGGTTTGTTTCATGATCTGAATTCTAGAGAACATCGTGTTTCTTGCAAACATGTCAGATATTTGATATTTATTCTTTTTAAGGAGGTGTGTAGATTTCAACGTTAAAGGGCGAGTAACTAAACTGCATAGATGAGTGTCTAATAGTGCTGTAGACACTCATAGCTGTTGTTTAGACACTTAAGTGTTAAAAACGTCAAAAAGCATCATTATTTCTCCCTCTCCAAGTTAAAACTCTGCTCTTCATTGATTTAGAATAAAGCTACAGCTGATGGCTAGGAGGTCCCAGGTGACATCGTCGGTCCTATAGTGGCTGCACTGGACTGGGCTCCAGCTGGCTTGACCAATCAGGAGCCGCTCCTCCTTTAAAAAACAACTTTTTCCCGCCTTTCTTCTAGTTAAAACCCTCCAGCTTGCAGCAGCTTCTCTGTCTGCTCGTTCGACTGAGCAGAGTCTGGGGTGTGTGTGTGTGTGTGTGCTCATGTGTGCACGCTCGTGTGCACGTGTATGAATTATGTTTCATGTGACTCGGTCATTTGAAACTAACAAAAGCTTTGAATGTGATTCCAACTGAAAATCTGCATTTTCTTCTTGCAATTTTCTGTCTCCAACTCCTCACCAACGTTCCAGTACTGGTCCCATGTGGTTACACTGGTAGGCTGGCTCAAATGAGATCAAATTACAACATTTAAGCAATTTTAATGAACATTTTCTTGTTGAATTTTAATCACAGAATCTCTCCGGTCTCAAATTCTCGACTCGTTTGACTCACATTAACTAAACTGAGAAGAGTTCCTGATGAGATTACTGGTTCTGCAAACCCTCAACACAGGAGCAAATTGAGAGAACTTGGAGATGCTCGGAGACATTCTGGATACTTTTGCCAACTTGTCACCAACAGTTGCTGTGAAATCCACCCATCCTGGCCTCTCACCTCGGTCTGTGTCGTAGAGGAAGACGAACTTGTTCCAGTCGTAGTGGTCCAGCAGGGACAGCAGTGCCCCTCGGATGGACGGCCGCAGCTGCAGGGTGAACTGGCTCTCGCCTTCGGTGGGGAAGCTGGGTGTGATGAGGGAGATGTGCAGGGCGCTGCAGAAGGACGTCAATGTGTGGACCGAGCGCTTGTCGTACAGGCCGAAGATGGCGAAGACACCGCGAGAGTACTGGGAGCAAACTGCAGAACAAAAACAAAAAAAATGTGCAAACGTTTTATGATTAATTGCTTTTTTATTGTTTGCAATGTGGTTTTTAGAGTTCAGTTTACTCAAAAGAATCAGGTGATGGCCCATTTTGTTGTGGAAATCGAGCAAATATAGATGAATTGTTTTGAAGCCAGATTCATCCTCACACACATACAGGAAGTGATGCTGATAAGAGTACTCCGTTATCTCCATCGTGCTCTCTGCTATGACAACTGATTGCAGGCAAACAAGGAGAAACAAATCACTAAAGCGAGAGGTGATTAACAACGCGACAGAAAACAAAACAAGCCATCAACCTGCTGATTACCACTTTAAATCAACTGAAGAGGAGCTCCAAAAACAGCTAACAGAGATCAGAACTAATGTTTCCTCTGAAGCTTTCACCAGGAAAGATGGCCTCTTCCCTCATTTAAATAAAAACCAACATTTCCTACAGCAGCACTGTAGGAATTTTCTCCTGCTCCAGCTGAGACGCTTCACAACAACAATAAAAAGGACGGCACAAACTAAATCTGTGTCTGTTGTGTTTTTATTGGTCGCCCTTTGAATTAAATGGGAACTGCATTTGCATAAAGTCTACACGAGCTGCGCTGAGCACACACTCCGTCTGTCCTGCTCAAGGAGATCTTCTCATTATAGAACGGCTTGGCTCTCTACAAGAGCCGTGTGGTAATTGCCCACTTTTTCTTCTTCTTTCTACACACGGCAAAACAACAAACAGGGGAGATAACGAGCGTCCTCTGCCAGTTTGTGGATATGAGGAGAATCAGAGCGAGCGACAGAAGGAAGAGCTGAAGGTGTTCCTGTTGTGAAGAGAAAATCGAGGGTGTGGAAGTAAACAACGGGGCTGTTTTACTGACAAACTCATTGTTTTCATGCAGAGTGCGGCACTCCACTGTAGAGACAACGAGACCGAATCAGCGTCGCTTTTGATCCTCGTCCGCGAGACTAAACGAGACAACAGTCAAACGCCGAGAGGGAAAAGCAACTCAGCTTCTGTTGCACACACAGTTAAGGTACAAGAAGGTGTCAGGAACTACGCAACCATGATATAAAACGTTACTGAGCACTCCACCAGTTTGGCTTTCGTTTTAAAAAGGAACCTCCTGTTGGGATGGTTTTGTAGTGTCATGAACCTGGACTGGGCCTTAATCCCTTTTGTCTTGTTTCAACATTAAATTCCAGTTTCTCCAAAAGATCGACTGATGATGTTCTTTATCAAACAGCAAGACTCAGAGGTCTGATGATCGACAGACTCTCATCCATGCGTTCTTCTACAGCAGGATGGTCTATTGCCATGGTCTTTGGTCTGGTCTCCCTAAAAGATCTGTCAAGCAGCTGCAGCTCATTCAGAATGCTGCTGCTAGAGCATGGACGTAGTTTTGACTTTAGAAGTGGGGGGACACAGCTGACATGAGGATGGGGGGGGGTCTTTACAGTAAATATACAGAAATACGTATAAAACTACAGTCTAGAGGACTTTTATGCAATGTCAGGAATGCAGAACTGTCAAGTACACAGGTGGCAGGAACGGCCAATCACACGTTAGCAAGTATCAGCAGAGCCAATAGACGAGTTTATGGACCTTCTAATGGGAAACAGGGTTCAACCCAAGCGCTTGGTCCTGGTGCTCAACCGGTGTCTATTTAATACAACATAATGGTGTTTTTGGATGGTAAAAAGTGAAGGGGACAAAACTTTACTTTGGGAAAGGTGGTGGTGGTGGTGGTGGGGGGGGGGGGTGGTGGCATGTCCCCATGTCCCGCCAAAACTACATGCTAGAGTCTCAACAAGCACCAAGAGAACCGAGCACATCACTCCTGTGGTCGCTCATCTGAATGAATGCCTTGTGAGTCGTTTCCAATGGAACAAAGCTCTGGCTCTCCTGTTTCAGGAAATAGAGCTTAGTCGGAACGGGGGGGTGGGGGGGTGGGGGTGGGGGGTGGGGCAGGAAACAGCAAGATTTGGACTTAGTCACTACTATCCATGATATACGTGCCCCTCCCCTCCACCATTGGCTCACAGCAACGCAACGTTCCTGCTGCCTCTTTTGACTTTTCTCGTTTTATTTTCACCAATAACACAAGCCTGGACAGGTTCCATTAGCTAATGCTAATGATAGCTTCTACCGGCAGCGATGCATTCTGCCCCCACCTTCACGTTGGCGGTCTCAAGCCAGGGTGGGAGGGGTCATGAATAATAAATATCCCTGTGAAGTAGCAGAGACTGGCTTATTCTGACCTGACCGTATACCCGTCTGTCTCTTTCTATGACTACGTTTACATGCAGCCAATATCCGGGTTATGATCGGGTTAAGGTCGGTATTCGGGTTTCTGAGTTGATCAGAATAACCCGTTTACAAGCATAAATAGAAAGAGTTACCTCTAACTTGCATAACCCGATTTAAATGCGGACGTTGGGGCAGCGTCAGGACGTGTGGACTACGTCCAGACGCAATATGCGTCATTTCCGGTTCTTCTTGTTCCGGTTTCCGTGAAAACAACACGTTTCCCAGTTCGGAAGAGATAGCGACCGCGTTTGTTTGCGCTTTAGTTTCTTCGTCACTCCAAAAGTGTGGTGCTGTGCCGCGACTCGCCATGTTGCTCCCAACTTGTTGTTTACTTCCGTAGTTCTGGCGCATACAAGACGTCTCGCTACTCAAAAGACCAAGATTCCTTGCGAACAGAGCATGTGCAGAACACACGCTTTGATGGGGATATCCCGGTATGCGTTTACACGACCAAACATTCGGGTTAGAAAAGGGTTACCCCAGGTGTAGTAACCGGGTTTTTAAAAACACGGTTATGAGCATATCCGGGTTTCTGGCGGTGTTTACAAGGACCTGCAGAACCGGGTTATTGTGAATATTCGGGTTTTAAAAGGGTTACTGGCTGCATGTAAATGCACTCAAAGTCAAATGCGGGAAATGTGGGTTTTAGACTTCACAGTCAGCATGCATGTGCAACTAAAAAGTGAAGGACTGAATTTCAAAAAGAAGAAGAATTACAGGATTTCTCAGTGACCAAAACCTTTAAGATGCCAAACTACTTTTATTTGCACACTTGTGTGTTGTGCATCTGCGTAACGGGGTCAGTCAGGATTCACAGCGCAGAAAAGGTCCAGCCATCTGAGAAACAAGTGCAGAGGTCTCACTAAGGCCGCTGATATCCCCTCAAGGGATAGGATGACATCACACACACGCATGCACGCACTCACACACACACACTGAGCAGCATTTTCCTCCTCGAATGTACAGAAAACCCTCCACCCAACGCCCCTCCGTCATGTTAGCTACAGGCTGCAGAACAACAACCCTTTAATACGGATGTGGAGCAACTTGCAGGTCTGATATTTAATCCTCTCAGTCTGGATCCAAATCCACCTTCTTCTGCGGTGTTTGCCTTCGATTACAGTCTGTTTTCACAGCGTTCAACTGTTACAACTAAAACAACACCGACAGCACAATCAATATTCAGTCTACCAATAGACTCCAAACGCTACTATCACACATAATGACTAATTAGAGTAACAGGCTTGACTTTGGAGATGATTACATTTGCATCCTGGTTCTGGAGCTCCAACAGAACCCAAACAAGAATTTACGAGATGTGGAGTTTTTAACTATTAGTTCACCAAAATCCAAAACGAAAGCGGAGGGTTTAAAACTTCACGCAGCTGTCTGGTTGGCTGGAAATTCTCCTCTGATGTGAAAAATCCCCCCCCCCCCCCCCCAAAGAACAAAGATTCCTCATCACTTTCGTCCAGCTGTGAGCAGAACAAAGCACGTTTGAGAAGGTCGCACTCTGACATGTTCAGAAGCTGTTAAGGTGCTCAGAGAAATTCTGACAATATGGCTGAACAACGCCACACGCCACATGGCGAATGATGGCTTTGGCGATTATGTTCCGACTTCTGTCTGCTCCAGGGTTTCATTCCAACACCATCAAATGAGCAGCGTAAGGACTAAAATGTAATTAGAGACATAATGAATCATTTTTAAACCAGCTAGTTCAATTTCTGCTGCTTTTCTCCGCCAAGATTTCATCGTAGCGGTTGGATTCACATTTCTCTCTATTTCTAGGAAAATTCTAAACTCTTATGAATTTTTGTGCCTGAATTCTAATTTATTGATTATTTTATCCCCACAAGATGGTTGGATGTTTCTGTTATCATGGCTGGATCAGTGTGAATCTGCAGCAATGTGTGAATAAACAAAGAATCCTGGATCAGAGGTGTGGGAGTCCTAATCAGATAATCGTGATGATTTTTTTTACCCACATGTACACCCCGTGTATTTTTCATTTAGATGTTTCCTGTTTTTTCAAGCTGGAGGCAAAATTCAGACTTTTTTGGAAACGTGTAGCCTGGCCCGCCAGACTCGCCTTCTGTTTAACTCCACACAGAGAACTTCCCATGAGGAAGCGTGGGTCTGGCTGGCCAGGCTAGAAAATGACATTTATACTTCCCTTCAGAGGTATTTTGCACACCAATGCAAAACAAAAACTATATTTAAGAAGACGTGTCCCTAGTTAACATCTTATTGGCGTCATGGTGAGCTCATCCTCTAATCAGCTTCAGCATTCATTCCAGGTGAGCGGTGTGTGAATGGGACCAGCTGCAGCAGATCCATCATCCGCCACTGCTGGCTTAAAAGGAGGAGGAAGACCGCTAATCAACGCCGGTTGATTCCTCCACATGGGTATATCCAGTTGGAAACTCTCCTGCTACTCAGTCTCTAGTAAAACTCGGGTCTAGTCTAGTTATATTTTTCATTTTTCTACTTGACGCTGCTCCTTGTTTTTCCCAGATCCGGCTCGACTACACCCCTTCAGCCAAGCTCCTGGACCTCTCTTCAGCCTGAATCTTCCTTCCCTCAGTCCCGTTCATCACCGCTCATCCACCCCACTCTGGAACCCTTCCCTCGACCCCTCTGGAAACTTGGATCCTGCCTCCTCAGATCTAACCGACCTCC